TTACCAATCAAACACACATAAGACAACATGATATTGACATAGATAATCAAATGAAAGAATTAAATTATATTATTCAAGACTATACATCAAATACAATTAAATCCCCAAAAAGTAAAAAGAAAGAGAAATTAGGTTACATGCTTAGGTTTATCCAACCCTAAGTTGAAGAATTAGTCGCTCATGGTTAATAGATGCAAGATGTCAACAAGCCCCATCATTTGATTCATCTGGCTCCTTTTCTTCTTCTCTAAACTTTTTCTCAAGAACCTTAGCTTTTTCTCCTCTTTGTGTTTTTAAGAGAGAACGTAATATCACGATACAGAAAAATAAAACCTAATAATTCTCAAATAAAAATCACACCTAATTAAAATAATGAAAAACTAACCCTAAAAAGAATGGGCTTGTTTTTCCTTAAGTAACAAACTCTATTAAAGCCCATGAGTTACAAAAATAAGCCCAAAAGATAAATTCCCGTAGCCATCAAAACATAAATCCCGTAATACTGCCAGGTGCTGGGGGATCGATCCCCCAAAAGCATTTTTAGTTCTGTGAATAGTGGGGGATCGATCCCCCAGAGTTGGAATTTCCTTTTACACCTTATTTAGCTCCATTTTGGCCACGGGATAATTGGTTTGCTTCTTCACCTTTAGGAGCATCATCAAAGGCCAGAGAAAGGTAGAATTGACCACCTTTTAAAGAATAAGCACACTAGACGAGCAATGGGTTGCGACCTCTTTTTGCCATTTTCTGAAATTTTTCCGAATGTTTTTACTTGTCTCCAAAAAGGTTTTAATGAACTAAAATTAGTCCGTTTGAACCTTATTGACCTGAAATTAACAAAAACATAAATTAGAACTAAAACATGAAATTAAGATAGATGCAAGGACTAAAATACCCTAGTTTAGGTGCTGAAATGTGCAACATTTAAGCACTTATCATGCCACCAAACTTAGATATTGCTAGTCCCTAGCAATGAACTACAATATACGAGAATGAAACAAACATATATACAACTATGAACTAATAAAGCAAATAAAGATAACACCATTTTCGTAAGGATCACGGTTACATTTAGCATATGCAACAAGCCTTTTAAACCCCTAGGTTACCCCTAGTGGACGAGTGAAGTCTCGTGAGGGTTTCCAGAAATGGTACCCACAAACATCAACAGCTCTTTCTTACTTGAGAAGCAACGACACATATCAAACAAGTGTTAAAAGTAGACTACTTCAAGTATGCAAATTTTTGCCATTTCTAAGCTATTCTCAACATTTCAATATCATATAATTAAAAATGGTCCTTCACACATCAAGCAAGTTAATCATTCAAATTGAATCAATTCTATCATCCTTTTTGAGTGAACCGGCATCAAAATGTGTTGCTATCCTAGCAAATCAAAGTAATGGCATAGCCTTACCCTCAAACTAGCATACAGATATAGTACCAGACATCAAGACATTGAATGAACCTTGTTATTCAATCAAACATTCTTTCTTTATTGAAATTTTTTTATTTTTTTATTTTTTATGTATGACTATGTGCAATGTTCAAGTTCCTTAAGCTTTCTAATCACCCCATGTAACAAGCGTTGAGCCAACGACTCCCAAACCAGATGGTCTTAGGGCGTTAAGTGTAAAGACACTCCTAAGGGCGTAATGACTCAGAATGGCCAGGCTACGAACTCAAACTAATCATACATCTTACATTCTTTCCTTGTCTTCCTATTTAATCAGTTAACATGTTGAAAGAATGCAGTTTTTTTTTTTCCTCACCTTTGGTGAGTGCTTTTATTTCTTTCTTTGCAAGGTCATTTTTTCAAGAATGAAAGCTTTTAAAGCATACTAGCTTAATTGGGATAAACCAAGACAATAATCAACTAAGCATGTACCCCACAAATTGAATGCTTATGTGCGCAAGTGCAAGTGTAGAATTCTAGAATCAACTCTCAAAGCATTTTCAACCAACAAGATGATGTGTACCACAAGAGCAAACATGATATCAAAAATTAAAAATTTACCCTTAAATGGCATCCTAGAGCATACAAGAAGTATTAGACTCTAACAACTTGCTTTTCAAAGGCACTATGCTTCAAAAGTTCGAAATCATTGCCAAACACATCTCAAATCTTATCATGCATTTAAAGCTCAACTTAAAATAGAATGAATTATGATGACCTTACCCCCAAACTTAAACTATACATTGTCCTCAATAAGCAATAAGAACAATGAAAAATAATAGAAAGAGTATACCGTGATGGCAAAGACTATAAAGTCCAGCAATGATCTAGTAGGAAAGATTTCTCCCCCAAACTTAGATGCAAAAACCTAGCTGTATAACCATACTAGCAAACTCACATCAAATATCACATGGGATAAGCAATACATACAGTTCAAAATAATATATAACACAATGTAAAGAGATATGGGATGAAACACTTGATAAAATCTGAAAACATTCATAACCAGTCATAAGGGCATACCGGTAACACATATTTTTGAATTTTTTTACTTTTTTATTTTGTTTATTTTTATATTAAAAGAAACAAAGAAAAAGAATATGTATATAGAACCTACAAAATAAAATAAAAAATAAAAAAATGGGCTAAGTTTAACGTCTCTAGAAAGTGGAATGTTATTAAGAAATTTTTTTTTTTTAATTTAATTTTTTTCTTTTTTTTATTATTATTTAATTTTTTAAAAATTTTTTTATTATTTAAAATATTTTTTTTGTTATGTATTTTTCTTTTTATTATTTAATTAATTTTTTTATGATTTAATTTTTTATTTAATTTTTCTTTTTTTTTTGTTATGTATTTTTCTTTTTTATTATTATTTAAATTTTTTTTTTTAAAAAAGCAAAAGAGAATGGCGAAGCCCAAATTGCCGGAGAAAAGCGATCCACAAACTTGCCGGAAGGAACCCAGTAAGAACCAGCCGAAATCGCTGGAAAACAGCGACCCAGCCGCGACGCCGCAAAGACCCAAACTTAATTGCCGGAGAAAAGCAGCGACCAAGCCGAAATCGTAGGAGAAAAGCAGCGACCAAGCCGAAATCGCCAGGCCGCGATCACTGGAGAAGAAGCTGTTGATCCTAAGTTCCTTAGCCATTGTTTGCCTCTTTAATGTCAAAAATAAGAGTGGTAATGGCTTCAAAGGGCTTCTTCAGTGTCAAAGTTGCTTGAAATAAGCCTCAAGGATAATGTGGTCATTTTCTATCCAGTGACTTATCCCTCATTACTGTTTTAATGTATTCATCATAGCTCATCTATCTGTTCTTGCTTATTTGCTGAGAATTGTGTGGATTCAGTTCATGAAAACTGTCACAAATGATTCCATGTGTAGCATTGTCATTTCTCAGTTGTATTCAACATATACACGTATGTTTTGGATGCTGCATTGTACTAGATTGACCTGAGTGAATCAGCATTGTCATTTATATAGTTTCAGGATTTTTCTTAGCTAAGAAGTTAAAAAATCTGTTGCAAGGGTATTCTGGTCATTTCTTATTATGCTCAGCAGTGTGACACGTTTCAGTGGTCCGATATTAAGTGAATATATAAGAATATTGCATTTTTTGGTGGCTAAGTCTAGAGCTGAATGGAATTTGCAGCATTGTGGTGTATGTGTGTACTTTAGTGTGTATAAGGACAAATATGCTGAGGTAGCCTTCTATGATTGGCTCTTGCTCTTGGAAGTATCTACATTGCACTGTGTCAATGATTGGCTTGAGGAGACAGGTGTAATCTGTGGGTTTATGAAGGTCTGTGCATTTTGAAAATCCATATATATATACTATTATAGCCTTTTTTAGGGTTTCAGCCTTGTGAGAGATGAGTGTTTTTGAGTTGCATCCTGCATTATCTCGAGAGCCTTGAGTGAACAAGTTTGTCTGAAGCTTTTGATGATGATTCAAGCCAGAAAAACTTACTGATTCGAGCTATGTGATAGTTATAGCAGAGAAGAGGTTGTTGCTGCTGTTTTTCACTGCTGCAAGGGCTGGACTGAGTATTGGATTTTAGTTCCAAGGTGCTGAGGTCTATTCTGAGAGTTGACACAGGTATCAATCACCTTTTTACACTTGCTCAGTACTGAATTATTGTTGAAATCATGCTGAAATAAAAAATGGACAGTGAGCTCATCTGTTATACTTAATTTTCTGAGATTTTCATGGATTCAAGCACTAATTGATTATGACTTGCTGTATAATAAGCTTTTAATCCTCTAGCAAGTGTATTTTGATGAATCTTACATGTTGAAGTTGGTTTTGTGATAGAAATTTGGTCTACAACAACTCTCAGTTCTTAACCCTTAGTCATAGAATGTGTTTTTGCTGAAACAAGGGTAATATTGGTTCTATATGCTAAACTCATGCTGCACTTCAGTGATTAAAAGTCATGAACATGAGTACCACAATGAATGAAGACTGAGTATGAAGCTATTGAATTAATCTCGAGAGGAAATTCCCTTTTTACCCCTCAAGACATAAGTGCTGAAAATTGGTGTTATGAAGTGGTAATCTGAAATACTGAGTTGTCAGTTTCATTTCAATTGAAGAAAGGATTTGTGATTGTTGTTTTACATTTGTTATAATGTATTTGGTGAGCTTAGAGAGCTTGTTTGGTCCTAGCAGGGTTGCCTAGGACAAGGGGAGTGTTTGTATACACTTTGTTGAGCTAGTGTGTGAAGTGAAGTGTGTGAAAACTAGTGTCTACTTTTGATACAAGGGTGTGTGCAGAGTGTGAGACAGCTGAGTGTATAACAGCTTACTTACAACTAGTGGATGCTTGCATTGGCTGAGGCAAAGACCCAAGGTTTTCCCTAATTGAGAGGGTTTCCTTGTAAAACATGTTACTTTGCAGTCTATACTTGTTTTATGCTATTTTCCAGCTTCAATTGAAAATGGTTTGACCAATTCACCCCCCCCCCCTCTTGGTCCAACAATTGGTATCAAAGCTTTGGTCTACTGTGTAGGGTTCTAGCAAGCCTACAGTTGATCTTTAAAATGGATGAAGGCCAAGCTACACACAAAGCTCTAGGGTTCAGTGGTATGAACTATGATTCATGGAAAATCAGAATGGAAGCATTCTTAATGTCTCATTCTTATGATATCTGGCATGCTGCTGTGAATGGAATTGTGGTTCTTAATCCTGAAAATCCCTCTGAAGCTGATAAAATTGATGTGGCTAATGATGGTAAAGCCAAACATGTCCTTTACTGTGCTCTAAAGCAACAAGAGTTCACTAGAGTCAAGAATTGCAAGTCAGCTAAAGAAATGTGGGACTCTCTTCAGGCTGCCTATGAAGGAAGCTCTATCATCAAAGAAAACAAGATTCAGCTCTACAAAGTTCAATATGAAGCTTGTAAGATGGAGGAAAGGGAAACTGTAGCTGACTATTTGTTTAGGATTAATGACATTGTCAACAATATGAAATCCCTTGGTGAAAACATTAAAGACTCAGATGTTTGCAAGAAAATTCTCAGGTCTCTTACTCCTAGATTCAATGCAAAGGTTACAATTCTTGAGGATAAAGACTTATCTCAAATGAAGATTGATGATCTACAAGCTTCTCTTACAGCCTATGAAATGAGAATTGGAACTCCAACTATTCAAAGAAGAGAAGCTGCACTTAAAGTCAAAGAAGTTGCTGAAGAATCTAATCCAAAGTTTGAGGAAGATGATCTTGAAGAGGATGAGGTGGCCTATCTGTCAAAGAAGTTCAAGAAATTTAGATTTAAGAAGAGAAGTCAATCTCAAAATCTAACCTGTTATAGATGTGGTAAGCATGGTCATTATATCTCAAGTTGTCCAACTTTAAAAGGGCAAAATCAGAGGAAGAAAGAAGGGGGAAACCTCAAGGGAAGATTTGGAAGAAAGGCTCTCTTCTCAGATTGGGATTCTGTTTCTGAAGAAGACAAACCTGAGGAATCAAAAGAAGATGAGTGTTTGTTTATAGCTACTCTTGAAACACCATAGAAAGCAACTGAAGTTGAAGAAGACAATGAAGACAGTGACTCAGAGATTGAAAAAATACTTGAAGAATGTGAGAGACTTGCGATGAAGTGCAACCAACAAAAGTCTTAGCTGAAAGCTCTTAGCTCTGAGTTGCAAAAATCCAAATAGCTTATTGTTAAGCATTTCAAATTTAAGCTGTCTACCTTATGTTCAATTTCTCTTATCTTCTTAAGCCTAAAGAAGTCTCAATCCAACACTGAATGGTCAACCAAGAGATGCAGAGAAGAACTTTCACTAATTCTTGAAGAAAGGTCTTTGAAAATGGCTGAGATTTGGAAGCAATCCATAAAGCAAATTGGGAAGACTGGAATTGGTTACATCTGTGACATTACAACTAAAGTAAAACAAAATCACACTGTGTTTGTTAAGGCATCTTCAAGAGAAGTGTATGCAAGATTTCCAATTATAAAATCCTCAAGAATAAAGCATGATTCATTTGACAAGTCAAGGTTAAATGAAAGTGATTTTATTACATCAACTTTCAGGAATTACAAAGTTACCAAAATATATGTAAAGAAGTCAGACATAATTCCATTTCAAAAAGTTAAGGATAGAAAATCTCTTGTGACGTCTAAGATAATGTGGATACCAAAGAGAATGAATGTTGTGAGTATGTTGGTGTATACTGCTTTTAAAGCTACTAACTCAAATGACAAATGGTATGTTGACAGTGGCTGCTCGAGACACATAACAGGTGATGGTTCCAAGTTTATTTCACTTAAGAACTTTAATGGAGGAAATGTCATCTTTGGAGACAACCAAAAGGCTAAGATTATTGGTATTGGCACTATGAGTAAGTCTAATGAACTACCTGAGATCAAAGAGGTATTACTTGTTGAAGGCCTCAAACATAATCTCCTAAGTGTAAGCCAACTATGTGACAATGGGAAGAAAGTCTGTTTTGATAAAGAAAGATGCAATGCGGTTGATACTGAATCTGAAAAAGTTATATTCTCAGCCTATAGATCCTCTGGAAATGTGTACACAGTCTCAGAAGAAGCTATTTACTACAATTTGACCTCTCTAGATGAAGTTATACTGTGGCACAAGAGACTAGGTCATCTTCACTCTAAGAATCTAATCAAAATCCTGAAAATGAAAGCTGTGAAAAGTCTACCTGATTTAAAGTTCAGTAACAATCATCTATGCAAAGCATGTCACCAAGGCAAACAAACTAAAGTGTCATTCCCTTCCAAGGAAATCAACACATCCAGAGCTCTTGATCTGATACATATGGATCTCTATGGTCCTACCAGAACTACAAGCATTGGTGGAAGTAAGTACTTTATGCTGCTCCTTGATGATTTCAGTAGAATGGTGTGGGTTTACTTTCTGAAAGAAAAGTCTGAGGCTATAACACACTTCATTAAGTTTGTAAATCTTGTTGAAAATGAAAGAAGTTGTACAGTGAAGAAGCTTAGATTTGACTTTGGTTCTGAATTTACAATGAGGGAATTTGAAAGTTACTGTGATGTAAAAGGTATCAAGAAAGAATTCTCAGGTGTAGCTACTCCTCAACAAAATGGGGTTATGGAAAGGAAGAATAGAACTGTTCAGGAAATGGGAAGAATTATGTTACTTGAAAAAGGTCTTGCAAAAGGATTTTAGGCTGAAGCTGTTAATACAGCTGTGTATATCATCAACAGGGTACTTCTTAGACCAAATTCATGTAAAAATCCTTTTGAACTATGGTATGGAAGACCTACAACACTTTATTATTTTAAAGTGTTTAGCAGCAAGTGTTTCATTCTCAATTATATAGAGAACTTAGGAAAATTTGATTCCAAGGCTGATGAAGGGATATTCTTGGGGTACTCTACAAAAAGCAAGGCTTACAGATGCTATAATCTAAGATCCTCCAAGGTTATTGAATCAATTCATGTTAAATTTGATGAAACTCCACAACTTAGCATTAATGATGACATCAGTTCTATACCAGGATCAACTGAAGCCAGTCCATCTCATTCTGTTCAAGGTTAGATAAATCTGTTAAATCTACTTCAGAACTTGATGATCATAGAGAAGTTACTTATCCAGGATTACAAAAATAGGTTCAAGCTGAAAACATTATTGGTTCTACTCAGGCTGGTGTTCAGACAAGAAACAAGAAGAAACTCACTGAATTAGAAGCTGATGATGGAGAAGAATACAGTCATTTTACAATGCTATCCTCTATTGAACCAAAGTCTTACTCTGAAGCACAAAAAAGTGAAGATTGGGTGGTTGCTATGAAAGAAAAACTTGAACAAATTCACAAGAATGACACTTGGACACTGGTTCCTAGACCTGTAGCTAAGAATGTTATTGGTTCCAAATGGATTTACAGAAACAAACTTGATGAAAAAGGGTCAGTTATCAAAAACAAGGCTAGATTGGTGTGTAAAGGATACTCTCAACAAGCTGGTATTGACTATGATGAAACCTTTGCCCCAGTTACTAGGATGGAATCTATTAGAATGCTCTAGTCCTTTACTTGTCATAAGCAAGTCAAAGTGTATCAAATAGATGTTAAGTCTGCCTTTTTGAATGGAGAGTTAAATAAAGAAGTATACCTGGAATAACCTAAAGGTTTTGAAGATCCCAAGTCTCCCTCCTATGTCTTCAAGCTAAACAAGGCCTTGTATGGTCTCAAACAGGCTCCCATGGCTTGGTATGAAAAACTGCATCAGTTCTTGATTGAACAAGGTTTTCATAGAGGAAAAGTGGATAGTACTCTTTATGTCAAGCTTCATCAAGATCAGTTCCTCATTCTTCAAGTCTATGTTAATGATATTATATTTTGTGGCTCCAATACATCTTTAGCATCAGAGTTTGCAAACTTGATGAAAACCATATTTGAAATGTCTCTTTTGGGAACTCTTATATACTTCTTTGGTCTTTAAATTCATCAAACCTCCAAAGGAATCTTCATCTCTCAACAAAAATATGCCTCTGAGTTACTTACAAAATTCAATATGACTGAGTGCAAATCTGTTTCAACTCCCTTATGTCTTAATTCCAAGCTGTCTCTTGAATGTACCACAGAATTAGTTTCCTCTACTCTTTATAGGTCTATCATTGGCAGTCTATTGTATTTCACAACTTCACGACTTAATATCATGTATTTTGTGGGGTTGGTAGCAAGATTTCAAAGTAATCCTAGACTCTCTCATCTTCAGGCTGCTAAAAGGATTCTGAGATATGTCAAGGGTACTATTTCCTATGGTCTACATTATATCTTTTCCTCAACATTGCCTATCACAGCTTTTTCAGATGCTGATTGGGGTAGATCCTTACCTGACAGAAAAAGTACATCAGGTTGTTGCTATCTTCTTAGTTCCAACTTAGTTTCTTGGTTAAGTAAGAAGCAGGATACTGTCTCTCTGTCTACTTCGGAAGCTGAATACATAGCTGCTTCTTAGGCTGGTTCTCAACTTCTCTGGATGCACACTACTTTTGCTGATCTTGGTATTCATTTCTCAGGTCCTCCTAAACTCTATTGTGATAATCAAAGTGCCATTGCCATAAGCAAGAATCCCACACTTCACTGGAAGAGCAAACATATTGACATCAAGTATCACTTTCTTAGAGACAAAGTTCAAAAAGGCCTCATTGACATTACTTACTTACCAACTGAAAATCAACTGGCAAATATCATGACCAAACCTCTTCTCCCTCAACACTGTTCAACCCTCAGAGCTCTTCTCAGGGTTGTTCCACCCTCTTTCTAAGCCTCTCATTGTTGGTCTTTCTCACCTTTTGTCCTTCAATGTCAAAAAGGGGGAGAATAGACTGAAATAAGGGTAGTTTTTCAGCTATCCCTTCTCTTACTTGTTGCTATTGTTAATTTGCTTAGTATTACTTTGGCTTAGTCTACTTTAGTGATGTCTTATTTCATAATTGAAGTTTTTGTCAATAAAGGCAAAATGGGGAGATTGTTGGTCCTAAGTTCCTTAGGCATTGTTTGCCTCTTTAATGTCAAAAATAAGAGTGGCAGTGGCTTCAAAGGGCTTCTTCAATGTCAAAGTTGCTTGAAATAAGCCTCAAGGATAGTGTGGTCATTTTTTATTCAGTGACTTATCCCTCATTACTGTTTTAATGTATTCATCACAGCTCATCTATCTATTTTTGCTTAATTTACTGAGAATTGTGTGGATTCAGTTCATGAAAACTGTCACAAATGATTCCAGGGGTAGCATTATCATTTCTCAGTTGTATTCAACATATACCCGTATGTTTTGGATGCTGCATTGCACTGGATTGACCTGAGTGAATCAGCATTCTCATTTATACAGTTTTAGGATTTTTTTTAGCTAAGAAGTTAAAAAATCTGTTGCAAGGGTATTCTGGTCATTTCTTATTATGCTCAGCAGTGTGACACATTTTAGTAGTCCCAAATTAAATGAATATACAAGAATATTGCATTTCTTGGTGGCTAAGTCTAGAGTTGAATGGAATTTGCAGCATTGTGGTGTATATGTGTACTTTAGTGTGCATAGGGACAAAACTGCTGAGGTGGCCTTCTATGTTTGGCTCTTGCTCTTGGAAATATCTGCATTGCACTGTGTCAATGATTGGCTTGAGGTGACAGGTGTAATCTGTGGGTGTACGAAGGTCTGTGCATTTTGAAAATCCATATATATATGTTGTTATAGACTTTTTTAGGGTTTCAGCCTTGTGAGAGAGGAGTGTTTTTGAGCTACAACCTGCATTAACTTGAGAGCCTTGAGTGAACAAGTTTGTCTGAAGCTTTTGATGAAGATTCAAGCCAAAAAAACTTACTAATTCGAGCTATGTGATAGTTATAGCAGAGAAGAGGTTGCTGCTGCTGTTTTTCACTACTTTAAGGGCTGGACTGAGTATTGGATTTTAGTTCCAAGGTGCTGAGGTCTTTTCTAAGAGTTGACATAGGTATCAATCACCATTTTACACTTGCTCAGTACTGAATTATTGTTGAAATCATGCTGAAATCAAAAATTAACAGTGAGCTCATTTGTTATACTTAATTTTCTGAGATTTTCATAGATTCAAGCACTGATTGATTATGACTTGTTGTATGATAAGCTTTTAATCCTCTAGCAAGTGTATCTTGATGAATCTTACATGTTGAAATTGGTTTTGTAATAGAAATTTGGTCTGCAACAACTCTCAGTTCTTAACCCTTAGTCATAGAATGTGTTTTTGCTGAAACGAGGGTAATATTGGTTCTATATGCTAAACTCATGCTGCACTTCAGTGATTAAAAGTCATGAACATGAGTACCATAGTGAATGAAGACTGAGTATGAAGATATTGAATTAATCTCGAGAGGAAATTCCCTTTTTACCCCTCAAGACATAAGTGCTGAAAATCGGTGTTACAAAGTGGTAATCTAAAATACTGAGTTGTCAGTTTCATTTCAATTGAAGAAAGGATCTGTGATTGTTGTTTTACATTTGTTATAATGTATTTGGTGAACTTAGAGAGCTTGTTTGGTCCTGGCAGGGTTGCCTAGGACAGAGGGAGTGTTTGTATACACTTTGTTGAGCTAGTGTGTGAAGTGAAGTGTGTGAAAACTAGTGTCTACTTCTGATACAAGGGTGTGTGCAGAGTGTGTGACGACCCTGGTTTCTAGGCCAGCGTGTCCTGTGATGAACCGAAGATTTGACCCGATAACGAATCCGATATGCGGAAGCGAAAACAGAAAACAAGACTCTAAAAAGTCAAAGTGACCTTCAATGAGGTCATAGAACTCAATGAGAACTGATGCGGAAGCAAAAGGTCAAAATATGACAAATAAGCCCCCAGGGGCAAAATAGTTATTTTTGAAAAATGTGGATTCAGGTGCCACCGAGCACACCGCTGGAAGGACAACGAAAAACTAATCAAGATGGGCTCAAGAATCGTATGATTCGGAGTACGGATGAAGGAGAAACGGCATGACGACGAAAAACGGACACTTAAAGCTTTAAGGGCAAATTGGTAATTATCCAGGAAGAACCGGGTGCAACCGAGCACACCGTTGGAAAGACAGTGAAAAATTGGTCAAGTTAAAAAAAAAATTCACTTGAATCGGAGTCCGGACGAAGGAGAAAAGCCCAAAAGAATAATTGACGTTGCAGCGGCCCGACAAGGGCCATGGCACACATGGCGCCCATGCGTGAGCCCACCGGCGAGCATGCCGACGCCCAAAGACAGGGCTGGTGGCTGCCCTTGGCTGCTGCTACATTTTTTTTTATCTGCCCAAAACTGAGGCTTCAAACGGAGGTCAAGACGAGCTTTTCTAGAAAAACACGAAAAAGAAACCCACCCTAAAATCGAGTTTTCTACCTGACAATGCAGACGGAATAGAAAAAAACTCACTGTGAAATCCCCAAAATGCCCCTAGATCAGAACTGAACAAGAGGGTCACAAAGCTGCTAAATGAAAACTGCAAGCTGAAACTTCACGAGGGATTTCCGTTACCAAGACGACATTTTCTGGAAAAACACGAAGATGAAACCCCCCCTAAAATCATGTTTTCTATTTAACCATGTCAAAAGAAGAAAATAAAACTGATGTGAAAGGTCCATAATGCCCCTAAATCAGAATATGCAAAAAAAAAATGCAAAATGAATTCACAAGAGGCTCAAAACACAAACGATAAGGTTTTGCCCGGAAACGACCATGCATGCAGACGTAACTTACCTATTTGGACGTGCTACATTGGTCCACGACTTAAAAATACCACCGATACAAAATCCGATCCCCCAACGGGCAAAAAGGCAAAAATGGAACTTAGAATGAAAACTCGGAATCCAAAAATACAAAACGAGATCAAATGACCATTTGGCCCTTGGCCACACTTCAAACATGATTTATGAGACCCTACGAAAGAATGAGAATGGAATTCCCACACCCGATGCAACCATGGTGAAGCAATGACTTGCAATTTTTCAAAATTTTCATAATATTTCATGAAGTTAAAAAGTACATAGAATACAATATAATGTTCATTGGCCTCCGGCCTCATCTCATACATACCAAATACATTGAAAGAAGTGTACTTAAGTACACACTACATACCTGGAATCAAATATACATATTTTGACATATAAGTCTACAAAATGACATTTCATGCTAACATTCGCATGAAATGGAAACTTGAAAGCTACACGACATCCAAGGAATGCTAGGCGTCATGAACCAAGTCTTCGTACCTGAAATATGCCCCAGTATCGTAGGGGTGAGTAACATAAAGCTACTGGTAAGAGATGAGCATGCATCGACCTAGCATTTTATAAATTTATCACCTTAAGGTGAAACATGTTAAAGGGGTTCATGCCACCTAACATCTATATCGAAATGAGACTCAGGGAGCATCCTAAGCTACCTTAGAGTGTTTCTAGCACAAATCACATCATCTATGCCATTTAAACAATATGGAAGCACGTTATACAAAGCAACAAGATATAGGTTCTTAAAGGTATTAACTTGCAATCTCGAATACAGAAACAACTAAAGTGATCATGTCACCTAACGTCTATGTTCTAAATAAGTCTAAGGAATCATCCTAGGCCATGCTGAACAATCAAACTGCAATTTACAACTTCAATGCAATCCAACCACATAAAAGCATATTATATAAGGCAACAAAATACAATTTCTTAAAGCTATCAACTTGAAATCTAAAGCACGAAAACAACAGAAGTGAGTCATGCCACCTAACGTCTAAGTTATAACTGAATCAATAGGATCAATCCTAAGCTTTGTTAGAATGTCAAAACACAATTTTCAATATCGATGCAATTTAACCAACATTGGAACTTCCAATACAACGCATAAAGCACAATTTCGCAAAGTTAACATCATGTAACTTAAAATGGAACGACAAATAAGAAATAACAAGTTACAACATCATCTAGTTATCAACTTGAAAATGAAATGCGAAATCAAAGAAAGTGGATACTCGGACGTCACGCCGGATCAGACAGACAACATAGTTCCTTTAGGGTTGCTAGCCCATGGGTAACCTCCCTATGTGCGCACTAGACCATATAGAGGGACTATCCCCCGTACTAGAACCACGTCCTAGCCATAGTCAAACAACGACATCCCCAAGTTTTCAAAATCAACAAGTTGTGCAACAAATATACTAGTAAACAAGTCATGGCCAATACAAATATCAAGTTAAAACCTTAATTAAGCTAATGGGACCACAAAATACATTTTAATTAATTCTTTTAATTAAAATCTCTTGATTTTCAAACTTAACCAAATGCTCTCAAATTAAACTATGTTGGAAAACATAAAAAGGACTAATGTAATATCGCATTACAAGTTTATTTCATTCAATTTACGACCGTGCGAATTAAACCTTCACTAAAGTTAAATATAAAACAAAAGTTACAATTCTCATGCAATAAATCCCAATTTAATACATGTGAATAACCATACCAAAACTTAATTTTCTAGCATGCCACAATACAATACCAAGTTGTATATCACCATGAGGATTAAATCTTAAACATGGAATTTAATTAAATAAAAGGTTTCAAAACCTAACCGAATATTCTAAATCTAATATATGTGAAACTATATGGCATGTAAATCAAGAATATCAAGTCGAAATTTAAATAGAGTGAATAGTGCACTCGGGGCAAATTAATTAATAATTACTAATTTTCAAAACACCTCCAATCACTTTCAAATTCAACTATGTTGGAGAGCATGCTAAGGCCTAATTTAATATGCTAACACATAGTGATTTTAAGCTAGTTAAGGCCACGTGAATTAATCTTTTACCTAAGATAAATATTAAATAAAGTCTTTAATACTTATTCAAATGTTTCAATTTTAATACACGACAATGAGCATATCAAGGGGCAATATAAATTCACGCTACATGTTTAAATCAAGTCATGAGTAACTGGAAAAATTAGATCCCGTACAAGAAAAATAAATAATAAAATCTCTAGATTTTATATTTAATTATGCAAACAAGTAGTATAAGTATCACAAGCATGCTATATAATAAGAATTTAAACCTAGAACATCTCCTACCTCAATTTGAGATGAAAATCCCAAAGGCCCACCAAAATGGAATGGCTCCGAATCCGACGAAACTACTAAGTTTTGTCGGGGACAACGCCGTGAACATAACCCCCATGAAAGCCCCATCAAAATCATAACTTGACCTCAAAACCAAACTCAAGAAATGGTCAAAACTAAATTCTAATAAGGGGGAAAGGTAGAGCACGTCAAGGGGAACAACAAACGTTAAGGCCGAAGACTTTCCATCAAGGAAAAGTGAACCAAAATAGGAGAGAGAAGATGGCAGCACCCCTTGGGCTGCCATGGGAGCTCCAGGTCATACATGAAGAGGGGAGAAGATGAACAATGAAATATCTCACCCCCCTTTTATAGAAATCTCAAAAAGTGCCCGGAACGGGCTCCGTCGGGTCCGAAAAAGTAAAATTTGAGCTGATGTGCTAAAATTGCAAAACTTTATGAACAAAAAAGTTTTAAAATGATAAAATATAAACAACGGAAGAAACGGCGTTAAAAACTGAGTTCCGAGCAGAAAGTTATGCCCAAAACAAATTTGGCGCAAACTGGGGCCAGAAATCCTGAAACTGGAAAACATCGACCAGGAG